ACGGTTTTGTTTCACATCTTCCCTTGTTGTTCAAAGGTCTGGAGCATTTCAGGTACAAAGATCACAGTCCATGGGAAATGCCCTTTGCCAGCAACTTCCGCCTAGAAACGGCACCAAAAAATTGTCTTAACTCTTCCTCTGGCCCACAACAGGCGCTGGAATTCATGGCTGTGTGATAAGCCACCATGTTACATCATCTCCGTGTCAGTTTTTCTGGACCATTTCTGCCCCCAGCCCTGCCTCTCCCTTGCGTGCGTGGGTTCTCGTTGCAGGAACGAGTCGAAACAGAGAGGCAGAAGGTTGTGTCTGAAGTCAAGGAGCTGCATCGGTTCGTGGAGGGACAGGAACGTCTCCTTTTGGACCGGCTGGCAAAGCTGGACCAGGAGATCATGAGGAGACAGGAGGAGAACATCAGCGGGCTCTTGGAGGAGATCTCCTCCATCGGCGAGCAAATCCGTGAACTGGAGGAGAAGTGTCAGCAACCAGCGTGTGAATTCCTGCAGGTGAGACCTCGGGCCCCTCTGAAGACCGCCGGCCTTGAACCCCGCTGGTGTGGTGTTCCACCACCCGTCCAGGAGCCAAACTCGTTCTAAATGGTCCTTTTTGAACGTATCTTTCAAAGCTTTTTTCTTAAATTATTTTCTTAAATGAGCCCAACCATGGCCCGACGGCCCACTTGAATATTTTAAATCAACCACAGCCTATTTAATCCCTGGAAGAGCAGGGACATGGAAGGTGGTGGGTGATGGCAGACAACTACGGCGAGCGATCTCGCCATGACCTCCCCTGACTCCCCGGCAGATCTGCAAGCACTGTGCAGGCAGAGCAGTAGGAAGGGACGCGTTTTCGACCCATAATTTAGGCAGAGCAGTGCCTTGAGTTGCCCGAGGTCACCCCACAGCCCTGCGGTAGCTGCTTGTTGTTTGCTGTCAGGCTGACTTTGCTCGGACCTAACGCTCCTTCTCTCGTCTTTCCCTTGTAGGACAGCAGGAACATCCTGAGCAGGTTTGTGGCTCCTTCCGCGTGTTCTTGCGACGCTAATGTTGTTTATATCTATGGTGGTGACACTGGTGGACTCCGAAACCCCAGCCACTTACCACCCCCGTGTGCTAGGGACTATACAGACGTATAGGAGACAACCAGGACGCCGCAGGAGGTCCAAGTAGGATGCTGAAGACCAGGGAAAGGTATCGGGTGGGATGACGGTACCTCCAGCTCTGCCGCAGCTTCTCCTCTGTAGTTCATCCAAAGCTGTTCCTGGAGGTCTGAGCTTTCGCTCCCTGCCTTTGTGAACCCGTCAAAAATAGCTAAAAATAAGTGGATGTTTAAACACTAAGGAGCGCATCCAGGTGGAAGGGAATCCCGTGTGACCTTCCACCCCTCTGACAGACCTCTTCGTGTCCTCTTTGGGCATGACCCAGAAGGTGCGTTATGGGAAAGACAAAAGTAGAGGAGAAAAGGCATCTTTTATGGTCTGCCTTGCCCTTGATGTAGAGCACCGGCCGTGATAGAAAGCCTTTACCATGCGGGGACCCCTTGGGAACAAAGTGGGTATGTGCTCTGGGCCAGCAAACGCTCCTCTGGGAGCTCGTTAACGACTGCCCTAGGCTCAAGCCTTCGCTCTGGTCCTACTATGACTTATTTCTCTATAAGAAACCCCAGCGGAAAATCGGTCAGTGCATAACGACAGTTAGGAGCGAAGGAAGCGTCATTAGGAAGGTCTCCGTTCTTTCCAGGCTTGAGAAGGACGGTGCCCAGAAGCCAGCAGAGACATTGCCTGAGCCGGGAGAGAAACCCAGCGGTCTTCCTCAGAAAAATGTTGCCCTCAAGGAGATGCTGATGAAATTTCAAGGTACAGAGAAACTGGGGAGGAGAGGGTTTGAGGTCGCGCTCGCTCTGTCTGCAGCAGCTCTGAGGCAGGGGATCTCAGCTCGGTAGGAGAAGTCCTGGTGGAATGGAGAGGTACTTCCGACGTGCCCTGCAGAGCTGTAGCCACATTGGCGTGGCAAGAAGCAATTAGTCGAGTTGATTATATGAGAGAGGGCGAGTTTGCCTCCTGGCAGAGCTCGGGGAGCGTGGTGAGCGTTGGGGTGCTGTTGGACCTCACGTAGGGTCAGCGTCACCTTTGGAAATCCCCTCTCTCAATGAGACCAAAGGTGAAAATTGCAAATATTTCCACAGGGGAACTTAAAAACGGAAAATCATGGGACACCTGAGGCTTGCTTTCCTCTTTTCAATGGCCTGGAGACTCCCAGCAGAAATGTCCACGCTTCAAAGCCTTGCTTTTACTCTAGCTCCCTTCATGCAGCCGTCATTTCTGCTCTTCCACTTTCTACTCTCCTACTCTCGTCTTGCTCGTGGGCATAAAACCATTCCCGCTCTGCTCCAGCAAGCAGGGACTGGGGGCTGGAGCACCCCAAGGTTAAACTGGGGGAAGATGGGGAGAACACGGCCCCAACGCCTTTGGGAAGTGAGCCGCGCCCGTGATGCTCGTCTCCCCTCTGTCCCCAGTGAGTTTGACGCTGGACCCGGAGACGGCGCATCCCCGGCTCGTCCTGTCCGAGGATCGCAAGCGCGTGAGATGGGAAGACACCCGCCAGCCCGTACCCGACAACCCCAAGCGTTTCGACTCGTCTCGCTGCGTCCTGGGCTGCGAGGCTTTCAGCGCGGGGAGGCATTACTGGGAGGTGGAGGTGGGCGACGGGGAAGCCTGGGCTGTTGGGGTGGCCAAGGAGTCGGTGAGGAGGAAGGGACGGATCAGCGTCAACCCCCAGGTGGGGATCTGGGCGGTGGGGCAGTGTGGGAGCCAGTACCAGGCTCTCACCTCTCCTACCATCCCCATCTCCCTGCTCTCTGCCCCCAAAGTGATCGGGATCTACCTGGACTACGAGGCGGGGCGAGTGGCATTTTTCGACTCCAGGAACGAGGCACCGATCTTCACCTACCCCCTGACATCCTTTGCAGGGGAGCAAATCCTCCCCCTGCTCTGCCTGGGGAGGGGGTGCCAGTTCACGCTCTCCCCCTGACCCCCCCACGGGACAGCATCTGCTCGGGTCTCACTCGCCCGGGGGCTGGGGGGACCGCGGGGGCTCCTCACCCCAGAGGTGGCTTTTGGGAGCGTGAAGAACGCACTGTCCGCGACGGAAAATTCTCTTTTCCCCATCGTTTACGTCAGCAAGAAGCATCGGTTGGTTCAGAGCTTTCTCCGCCGTCAGGCGGCTTTGCTGGCGATGCTGCCCTGCTGCACCCGTGCCCATAAACCCCTTCCAAAAACCTCTCTGGGGGTGGGACAGGGGCAGAACCGAGCTGAACACGCGCCGAGCCGGTTCCCACTTTCGCTCCCTCACCTTCTCCCACTGGTCATGCATCCCTGCTATTTGCTGGAGCCTTTTTTTGGCTCACCGAGCTTCCAGCTGCGCGACTGAGCCCAGATGCCGTGGATGAGGACGCAAAAGCCCGGAGCAGCTCATGATGGCCTGAAGTTTTGTGCGATCTCCGGCAAGGTGGTAATAACCGAATCCAAGAGCGAGATAGGCAAGCCCTGGTCCGGTGGAATGGTACTTTAAGTCGGCAAAAGTACCTGCTGTGAGCTTGTGTTGGACCCATGCTTGGTGTCCAGACCTTTGGACGTCGGAAGGACTCGCCTCTCCGTTCAGGCTTTGGTCCCTCCAGGGTCAGGGGAGCGCGGTGGCAAATTTTAATTCGCCTCCTCCAGAAACGGCTCGACAAGTGCGTGCAGGAGGATTTACTTTGATGACAGAGAGAGCCCGGATTGATGAGATGGCACGGAGACGCATCTGTAGGTGCCGAAACCCCCGAGAAATAAACCCTTCCCAAGGCAGAGTCGGCTCGAACCTCATATTGGGCAACAGCCTCGGGCTGGGCTGTTGCCTAATGGCTATTTGGGGGCGTAAGGGGGAAGCCAGGAGTACGCAGGAGGATTCACAGCGCGGGCGGCGCGGCCAGGGCTTCTTGTCACGCAAGAGCGCGGCGACGCGCCTCAGGGAGAGCGCGCCCAGGATGAGCGACCCCAAACTGGTTCCCAGTAAGAAGCTGCGTGCAAGGGGAGCAAGACCTGGGTGTGGGTAACTCTGATTGCCGGGTGGCTGGGAAATGCCGTCATTCGCCGAAGGAAAGCCGCGGGCTGGCTGCTGGCACAGCCTTCCCGCGAGAGCCGCACCGACGCGGGGGTGAGGTGGAGGGTGCGGTGAGGAGAGCGGAAAAGGACCGAAAATAAACGGCAAAGAGGTGAAAGAAATGCAATAATTGGTCCCGCGTGCGATCCAACAGCGTGCGATGAGTTGCGTACAGCCTCCCTGGTGGTCTAGTGGTTAGGATTCGGCGCTCTCACCGCCGCGGCCCGGGTTCGATTCCCGGTCAGGGAAGTTCTTATTTCCTCCCTTCGGCCAATTCATTTCCTCTTT